CCTGAGTCCTGCCAGGAGTGATTCCTGAGCACAGAGCCAGGAGTAACCCCTGAGCATAACTGGGTGTTTTATTTTTTTATCCTTCTGCCCCAAAACAAGCAGCTGGAGATAGACCAGGGTTTCGCCTTGTATCCCGCTGACCCTGGTTTAATACCTGGTATCACCTGAAGCACTGTCAGGAGAAGCCCCTGAATACAGAGCCATGGCTGGGAAGACCCTAACAAGGAGAAAATAAAGAAGCATTTCTATATTAATTTTTTTTGTTCTTGGGATTTTGGGTCACCCCAGGCTGTGCTTTGGGGTGCTACTACCTGAGGGCGGGCTGGGGGTTGCAGGGTCATTCCCTCCTCGGGGGGCTCCTATGAGGTACCCCGTGGAGCTGTTACCTGAGGCGCTGCCTGCCCTGGAAGTCGCCCTGAAGCTAGCGCAGCTTCTAAAGCAGGGCATGCGCTTCTGTCCACATGCTCGTCCACTCACCGAGTACTGATACAGTTTGCCATGTCAGGTAGTGTTCTGGGTGCCCCAGTGTCTCGCAGTGAACGTGCCGGTAAGAGTTAGGTTTCCTTGGCGCCGGAACGACAGGACAGTGGGGAGGGCATTTGCCTTGCACGTAGCTGACCCAGGTTCGACCCTCTGCATCCTATATGGTCCCGTGAGCACTGCCAGGAGAAATTCCTGAGTTGCAGAGCCAGGAGTAATCTCTGAGCATCTGAGCACTGCCGGGTGTGCCCCCCCCAGCAACAAAATTTAAAAGAGAGCTCAATTTCCTATCTGTAAACCAGGGGAATGAACTCAGTGGTCTCTAAAATTCTGAGACTCTTTGGGTGGGGGCAAAGAAACGAGACTGGGGAGAGTTCCACGCTCCTGCCCCTTCCCCATTCTCCTCCCCCCCCCTCCGGGCCATCCCTCTCCTAAACTCATGTCTGGGTCATAAACAAACATGTGGTGTGTCTGTCTTCTTTCCGCTACCCAAGATCTGACTTTCTCAAGTATCAGTTAAGCTTTTTTTCTTCTTGGGGGGGTGGGGGTGGGTAGGTACAGTGTGGAATAGAACCCCGGGTCGCATACATGTGACAAATGTGCTCTAGTCTTAGCTACACCCCCGCGCCTGGCCTTCTACTTCTGTTGTGGAAAGGCTGGGTCTAGGCTGGGACTCCAGTCTGTTCCACGGAGCCTTTGTAAGAAACCAAGACAGTGGGGCCCCGTGGGCTCTTTTCCAGGTCTGCTGTTCCTGGGACAGGCACCTCCTGGTCCTCTTACTTTGCCTGAAGGGTCCACGTTTCTACCAGTGCACTGCTGGTGCTCTGTGTGGGCAGGGAGGACTCAAGGACTCGCATCCACGCGAGGAACAAGGAACCGGAGTGGTAGGCAATGGACGCGGAAAGAAGGGTCCTGGAAGGAAGGGGCTTAGGAATCCCAGACCAGTTCCCCCGGGCTGATGGACTAATAATATACTTAAGTCTCTTAATGAAAACTCGGAACTTGAGTGCCGAGCTGGATGATTACATGTGAAGTCAAAAAGTAAAATTTTTTGTCCATGTAAAAGCCAGCTTCAGGGTCTTCTCTTTCTATGTCACTGCCATAAGACACAAGTGGTCTGGAGTCACATGTCAGCTACTGGACAGGGACAGTTAAGGCACCTGCAGACCTCCTCGTAGCCGATGAATGGAAGGCAGAGGCAAGGATCGGAAAGATAGTTTCCTTGCTAATGAACTAGAATCTTGGCTCATGATCTGGGTCCTGAACCTTTCCTGGTCCTAACTGGACAAAACTAGACTGCTGTCACTTATCTCTTTCTTTTTGGTTTTTGGGCCACATCTGGCAGTGCTGCGGGGTTATTCCTGGATCAGAGAGGACTCCTGGAGGGGTTTAGGGGACCATCTGGGGTGCTGGGGATTGAACTTGGGTTGGCGTGTGACAGGCAAATGCCCTCCCCATTGTGCTGTTGCTCTGGTTCCCGCCTTTGTTCATCTCTGGTGAGCTCAAGAGGCAGCTCAGTGAAAGTGCTCTGGAAACAGCGGTGTTCTGTGCACAAAGACAGACGTTTCGGTGGGCCTGGCCACTGGCTCTCAACCTCTTCCTTCTTGCTCTTGGTGTTCCTGAAGCATCTGTTACCTTTTGACCGGCCTGGACCTAACAGGGTCATGTAGAATTGAACATAAAGAGGCTCTTTCTTCATTGTGTCTGAGCTGCCTTATCACCAAGCATGGGGAAGATGCAGGGAGAGTTGAAGATAAGCTTTATTTCCTTCAGGTGGCTCAGGAATTTTCTTTGTTGGTGGCACTGAATTGGCTTCACAGAATGCAAGTCGGTATACCTGAAACAGTCTCTGCTTTGGAGTCTGACTGGGAAAAAGGGATTCAAATCAAGCCTTGGGCACTTCCTGAGCTACTCGGCTAAGGATCCCTGTTATGAGCTCTGAGGTTTTCTTCTCTATTATGAGGATGTGCATACCGTATAGCACTATTGATTTTTTGTTGTTGTTTCTGGACCACACCAGGTGGTGCTCAGGGCTTACTCCTGCCTTTGCACTCAGGGGTCACCCCTGGCAGGGCCTGGGGGACCACATATAGTGCTGGGGCGAAGCATGCAGCCTACCCATTTTACAGCACTATTGAAAAGAGGATAATTAATGCGTATGAGTGATCAGCACGTTCAGTGCCAAGATGACAGATGAGCAACAAGACCAAAGCATGTAATAGGAGGTGTGGATGATGAGACATAATGACCACTGGGGAGATACCGAGAGGGAGGGGGTGTCTTCCCAAAACGCTTAGGGTTTATTCCCCGCGAAGCCGAAGGAGACGGAGAGCACTGTGAGTGCGTCAGAGTACACTGCTCAACCCTAGAAGCCCTGGAATTCCCACTTGATAAAAACAGAGAAACACGTTCCATAAGTCCAAATATCAAAGGATAAAGATAAGACTGTCATTGTTGCAGATACACAGGTGAAACAAGAGAAAGATAACTTCTGTCAGTGAAAATCTGGCTTACTGCAATACAGGCATTCTGACTTTTCCCTTTGGTAATCAAGACAGCTGATGTTAAAAAATACATTCAAAAACTCAAGTGATGGAACCAGAGAAATAGGACAACTTGCCTTGCATGTGGCAGATACAGATTTGATCTCTGGAACCCCATATGATCCCCTAAAATCTGTCAGGAGTGATCCCTGAATGTAGAGCCAGGAGTAAGCCCTGAGTACTGCTGGGGCTACCCCATCCTCCGACGCCCCTCTGCCCCCGCCCCCCCCCCAAAAAAAAAGAACTGAGAGGTGGGGCAGGAGAGATAGTACAATTGGGTAGGAGGCTTGCCTTGCACATGGCAGACCTGGACTTAATCCCAGCACCCATATGGTCCTCCGAATCTATCAGGAGTGATTCCTTGTTTGGGTGGATAAATACACACACACACACACACACACACACACACACACACACACACACGCACACACACGTCACACCCAGCAATGTTTAGGGGTTACTCCTGGCTCTGAGCTCAGAAAATTACTTCTGGCAGGGGTCAGAGCAATAGTACAGCAAGGAGGGCATTTACCTTGCACGCGACTGACCCAGGTTCAATTCCCAGAATCCCATATGGTCCTCGGAGCTGTGCCAAGAGTGATTCCAGAGTCAGAGCCAGGAGTAACCCCTGAGCATCTCCAGGTAAGACCCCCAAAATAAACAAAAAAACCCCCAACCAACCAAACAACAACAACAACAACAACAAATTACTCCTGGTGGTGCTCAGGGACCATATGAGATGTCAAGTATTGCGAGTAGGGCGTTTGCCTTACACACAGCCGACCTGGTCCGCCCAGGTTCGATTTTTCCGCCCCTCTCGGAGAGCCCGGCAAGCTACCGAGAGTACCTTGCCAGCATGGCAAAGCCTGGTGAGCTACCAGTGATGTATTCGATATGCCAAACCCAGTAACAAGTCTCACAATGGCGACATGATTGGGCCCGCTCGAGCAAATTGATGAATAACGGGAGGATTGTGCTACAGCGGCCACGTGCAAGGCAAGTGCCCTGTCTACTGTACTATCACTCCGGCCCCTGGATAGAGAAATATTAGTATGGAGCTGGTGGGCTTGGGCTAATTTCTGTGCTCTGGTTTGCTTCGGAGCCAGAAGAGTTGCCGAATCATCAGCTGCATATCCCACTGTGCCAGAGCTGCTTCTGTATGGGCACGAGCAGGCCCTTAACTCTCCTAGCCTGAGATTCTTTGCCAAGGCAATGAGGACACTACCTTCCTGTCATGGAGAACATGTTCAAACATTCGGAACTGAGATTCAGACCAAGGCTACTGTATTATGTTTATTTATAACTTAGCAATTCTAAATGGATTTGGTACAAATTATTAACGAGAAGGCAAATGTCTGATGCAAAAAATCTTCCTGACTCTGTAGTATGGACCTATGGGTGGGAACAAAGGAAAAACGCTTAGCTTGTTTTGGTTTTTGGGTCACATCTGGTGATGCTCAGGGGTGACTACTGGCTCTGAACACGGGCATTACTCCTGGCTCTGCTCAAGGGACAACATGGGGCGGTGGGGATTGAACCTGGGTCAGCTGCATGCAAGGCTGATGCCCTACCTGCCCTTCTATTGCTCTGGCCCTGGCAAGCCTTTGTGTTACAGGTTTTCCCCTACCACAGTGTTAAAGCTACATACACTTATTTACTTGGGGCACCACCTGGCAGTAGGTTAGGTGTTTTTCTAGCTCTGCATGTGGGGATCGCTTCTGGAGAGGACCCAGAGCCACGCGGTGCTGGGGTGGCTGGTGGCCTGCAGAGCCCACTGGTAACCTGCTGACCTATCTTTCGGGCCCTCACAATACTAGTAAGATACACTCACTTCTTAACAGAGAAATGTCCCTGAGGTAAAGCAAATCTACCGTTTGCTTAGGGGAAATGGTTTTCGGACTGTCTTTTATTTAAAAAAATTGACCTCTACCGCCTATCCCAGATCTTTAAGACTTTGAAAGAATGAAGTAATCTGGAGCTCTTTCAAAGGATTTATTTGCTACAGGATTGTTTGAAGCTACCAGAGCTGAACTCAGGATTTCTGTGTTTAAAAGGATTTTTCCCACTGCTTTATTTTCAGCACTCAAAAAGCAATTTCTTTGGCTAGAATTTGACGTGTCTTGAAGAGGTCAGAAAAAGCTAAGACTCTAAAGAATTAGATGCATAGAAATAAAAGACCTAACTCCTCCCCAACGCCCAAACACTTAAAAAAAAATTTCTCATTTGAAGAGATCCCAAGAGGAAATCACATTCTCCCCCAGAGAGATCTGTTTTAGGTCAGAAATACTGTTTTCACCGTGTCAATCCCGGCCTGTGGCTTGCCGGGCACTGCATGAATGACAGGAGAGAGATTTCGCAGCTGGTCACTTCTCCCTTCCCGGACTTGGGAAGTTTCACAAATAGCTCTTAAACCCCTACCTCTTGGTCCGCCAGGGAACCCCAGCTCCAGCTTCAGTTCTTAGTAAAATAAACAAACACAAATTTCCCACACATGTTACATTTGTTGCTAATGGATAGATACAAAGAAACCAAGCGTGGATGGAAGGAACACTCAGCAACAGAGCGGTGCTCCCCAGCCCAGGTGATGCTGGTCCCGCCTGGCGGAGCCTCAGCCGGAAGAGGGTGTGAAGCCCAGCAGCTGCTCGATGGGTTTGAACCGCCACTCGTCTGCCTCCAGCTCTTCAACCAAACCAGCTAGTTTTTCCATCCGAGCAACCTGCTGATCTGCCGAGAGTCAAAGAGGTAACATGTAATAGGACACAATTCCCACGAGATAGGAACTCTTTACCAACATGATGACTGGTTTGCAAGAAAGTACCAGGACTGTAGTAACAGGCCCTTATTCCTGTGGGTCTATAAAGTTAATCTTAAAAACAACAACAAAAAAGGAAAGCTCGGGTTGGGGAAACAGCACGGGGGTTGGGTGCCTCAAGCCTGATTCTGTCCCCTCAGAACTAGGGGGAGAGATCACCAGCAGAGCTGCAAGCACCACTGGGCGTGGCCCAATACCTCATGCATGGGGATCCGGTGAGAGGAGATCACAGGAAAATGTGGACATTTGGTCTGGTTTAGGATAGTAGAATTTTTTGTTTTGTTTTGGGGCTATACCCTGTGATGCTCAGGGGTTCCTCCTGGCTCTGCGCTCAGGAATCACTCCTGGCGGTGCTCAAGCGACCATATGGTTACTGGGGATTGAATCCGGTTAGCTGCTTGCAAGGCAAGCGCCTTACCCGCTGGAGTACCTCTCCAGTTCATAGGGATATATATACATATATACACACATATATACATATACACACATATACATTTGCAGGTAATTTAGAAAGCCTAAAGCCCAAATAACCTTTCAAAACAAAAACAAAAAAACAAAAACACAACAATAGCAACAACAAAAACCCTTGACCAACCTTGCAGAGTTTTAGGGGTTTCTGTCACAGCATACTGACCTTCCTGAATTCCCCTCTCCCAGGCCGAGTGAATTTCTTTTGTGTGTGTGTGTGTGTGTGTGTGTGTGTGTGTTTATAAAAATTTAATCTGGTTCCTTTAGCCAGAAGTCAATCTTGCGGGTCTCCCAATGGGAGAGATATGGGTTGTTTCTTCCAAATGAAACAGCCATTCTCGCTGGGGTTCCAGAATGGCGAACAGATCACAGGAAGACAGTCCTTTGGGCCTCTGAGCCCGAGTGAATTTACTCTCAGAGTTAAGCACCTAAAACCACACACTCACCATGCTTCACTTGTTTAAGCGTGGACGCTACTTGATAGCTGAAAACGGATTCACAGAGGAATCTCTCCGAGCCATCTACAAACAAAAGAGGCAAAGTTTTCATCTGTTTGAAGGGTTTCATGGCTTCTCACAGGCTAAACGTGCCCATTCTCTTCCCTGTTCTCCCCTACGGGGCTCATCTTTCAGTGCTCACAGAGGGTTCCTGTTTCACTGAGAACATTGTGTTACAAAGCCTGCTTCTTCTATACCTTGAGTTTTAAATAGTCCTACTTGTTTATGAGTTTAAAAATAGTGTTTAAAAAAACAAAAACAAGTAACCTCAGTCGATGTCCCAGCCAACACGGGGCCCCCCTCAACCCGATGGTTTCTTAATGTTCTCCTATTCTGCACGTCAAATGAACGCTGACAGCTGACACACTTGGGCACACGATCCCTGTGCCACCAACTCCAAAGGTCCAAAATATATCCATTCTAAGGAACTGAAGGGAAAACAGTTGTTTTGAATTTTTTTACTATATCAAATTGCATCACTATGACCATCTCAAAAACACTGCTGGGAAGTTTCATTCCATAAACGTAAATTGTAACCTTGATTTGCCAACTGAACCAAAACACTGCCATTTGATTGGCGATAAGAATATGGCGCAATGTCAGAACCCAACATTGTCCTGGGGCCAAGAACTGGTGACTGAAAGGGCACCAACTTGGTCACTGCGGAACCTGGAAGCTGACCGGGAAAGCCAAGCGGCTTCGTGATTCCCACCAAGGGAGGCAGATCAACAACACAGAGCTTGTGTCGGAAAGTGTGCTTTTTAGAAGGGGAGCAGAAACCGTTTTGGGGAAGGTGTCTTCCTGCAAAAAGCCTACAACAAATGGAGAGCTCCTGCCAGGCGGCTGGGTGTCAAGCCCTCGCCTGTCAGTCAGGGGCTGCTATGTCAGCGAGGTATCCAGTGTCTGGGGGCAGGATGCCATCTGGCTTCATGCTGGGGTTCACACAAGACAGACCTGATGTCAGAAGCCGGGGAGTGCTACAAAAAAGTGAAGGATATCGGGGGCTGGAGCAATAGCACAGCGGGTAGGGCGTTTGCCTTGCATGCGCCTGACCCGGGTTCGATTCCTAGCATCCCATATGGTCCCCCAAGCACCGCCAGGAGTAATTCCTGAATTCAGAGCCAGGAGTAACCGCTGTGCATTGCCGGGTGTGACCCAAAAAAGAAAAAAGAATTATACAAAAAAGTGAAGGATATTGTTGCCACTGGCTTCAATACACAACCAAGGGGGGTAGCATCTTCAAAATCAACGCAAAGAGAAACCAAAGCACAACTGCTGTGTGTATACTTTAGGAACAGTGTGATCTTTCTTGGTCTGTTTTGGAGCCACACCTTGTTGGTACTGGGGGACTATGTGGTCCTGGGGATTGAACCTCTGGCATGCCAAGCCATCGCTCAGGCTTCACTTCTGTAGATCCACCCTCCTGCCTGCATATTGTGCTCCACGGAACGTGCTCTGTCCTGTCCCTCTTAACTCAGTCCTGTCTGAATGTCATTTAGTGCGCAAAACCCCCACAGGTTATTTTTCTTAACTTAATATTAAAACTGAGGTAAACTCATATTATCACTGATTTCTTTTTAGGCAATGGGCAGCAAATACTTGTGGATTAACTGTGGGAAGAGGGACTACGTGACCATTTGACACGAACAATGGAACTGATTATAGCCTTCCTGTCTAAATATGCGAACATTCATGATCCGATTCCTACCCTGGCTCAAAGAATCCAATTATGGCTCAGTTCATTTTAGCAAGAGCAAAGCAGAGGCTAGAGCTTACTTTCAGGTGGTTTGTTTTTTGGATTTTAGGATCTCACACGAGGTGGCAGGGATTATAGGCTGGAAGAACCAAGCCAAGATGTACTTGGAGGCTCTTGGCAGTGTAACCACCCACTTACACTTAATCACAGGAGCTATTAGAAGAAAATGCCTAAGTTATTAACATTTGCATATTTCCCTTGGTAATACACTTCAAAGCGAAAGGATGTAAACTAATCTTGCAGAAGGACACACCTGTGTATCATTTTGCCCCTCTAGGTGCCCATGAAACCCACTTTTGCTGATGTGCAGTTCTGTGTTAACCACAAAGTCCAGTGCTTCTTGGCCAGATCCTATTAGATGGGATATCTGTACCAATTTAAAGTGTGGAATTTCTCCAGAGAGAGTCAGCCCGGGGCAATCTGTCTTCCATTTAGACACTGTAATCAAACCCTTTGTAACACACCAAGCAGCAATACATCGGCTTTCCTCTTAAGGGACAAGCAAAGGTTATAAATAGTGGAAACTTCAGTAAATTGCCCAAATTTAACACCACTGCCAACTCCAATAAATAGGATGCTAACAAATTCATTTAAAGGAATTTACCTCACAGTAGGAAATTACACAATGCCAGGTAATTTATACTTGAGTGGGCTACAATGTCACTAAAACCCAGCCACTTCTGGGCTGGAAGGCAGTGTCTCATTTGCTCACTAATAACCCAGGGAGGATAATCTTAGCCAAGGGCGGGAATGCAGGGAGCTGCTGAGTAGGGTTTATGTGAGGGTGTCTGTTATCAGAAAACAGATGCATGGAAAAGTTAATCCACAAGGTTAACTACAGGTTATTTGAGTTTATTATCCTAGACTTTGAAGAGTCTGCGATCAGGCTGAACCTGTTAAGGTTATAAACAACATCCAGCCTTGTCTCCTGATAGCTGTTGTGCCTCACTCTGAACCAGCAATGTTTTTTACTCTATGTTCCGATTCTACTGAACCAGTGTAAGAAAGATGGCCCAGTGTGACAGCTTTCAGAGACACACTGAAGAAGGGCTTCCAAACAAACCCCATCTTATCAGTTGATTTATCTTCCGTCCTCAGTGATGCTCAGGCACCAGCCACGGATCAACAGTCAGATGTGCTCAAGGTGGTTTAAGTACTTTAAGTCCTGCACTATCTTTCTAGCTTCAGATAGAATCTGTTTTTGTTTTTGGGTCACATCCAGCTGTGCTCAATCTTATTCCTGGCTCTGTGCCCAGGATCACTCCTGGCAGGGCTCTGGGGACCATATGTGGTGCCAGGGATCAAAACGGGTCCACTGCGTGCAAGGCAAGTGCCCTCCCCGCTGCACTGTCTCTCCAACCCTCAGATACCAGTTGAAACTGATATTCAGGCGTATTCTTTTTCTTTTTTGGGGGGGAGGAGTGGCTAATGGTGGGGCCACACACAGTGGTGGCTTAGGAATCACTCCTGGCAGGGCTCAGGGAACTGTCTGTGGCACCAGGATGGAATCAAGGCTGTCTACACGCAATGCAAGTGCCTTGACCCCTGTATGATCTCGCTGACCCCAAAGGTGAAGCTTTATTTTAAACCCGAGTGAAATCTGAACTGTGCACTGATTTAAAAATAGTATTTAAATTTATCCTACAATAGCCAGCACCTTCCACGAAGGCCCCTGGATAGAATAAAAATGGGTAGAACTATAATTTGCCAGAGCATCAACACTGAGACCAATTTTAGAAGCCTGTCTTTGGGCAAGTTTCCAAGTCACCTGATGGCTACCGAAAAAAGGTCTGTGATCTAGACGACAGAGGCGTCGCCTGTACGAAATCCCTCCCGTAGTTGGAATTCAGATGACTCTGATCTTTGCCCATTGTTAAATATCGATTATTCTCTTCCTGCTCTGAAACTCATTATGCAATTTAAGATACAATCCAACTTTTGATGTGTTTTGTGGAAACTTCCTTATCACCAAGTCTGTGCTGTGAATAACTGGAGCCATGATGTATTTTTAGTGCCAAATAGGACAATGTCTCCGTGCTCACTATCTTCACATCCAGTGTCACCAAGATTGGGGAATGACCAGCTAACACAGCAGATGACGTGACGAAGGCAGAAGTACACATACCTGGGATATAGCTCTAACTATACTGCTCCATCCATTACTTCACTAAAGATTAAAAAAAAAACCCCACACACATAGTTTATTTGGTCTTTGGGTCACACCCAGCTGTTACTCCTGGCTCTGTGCTCAACAATCACTCCTGGTGGTGTTCAGGGGATAGAATGCACGTTGGTGCACGCATGGCAAAGGCCCTCCCTGCTGTGGTATCTCTCGGGTCCCTTCTCTAACCGTGAGTGAAGCCAATTCTAGAGGACCTATATGATAGCCTTGGCGATCCCTGTAGTCCTGTCACATATCATTCTTGTTTCACTGGTGTACTCAGAACTCTGTTTTTAATTAACTTGATGTAAGTGAAAAAAGGTGACCTCCAAAAGACAATCCCTAACTATAGTTTGTATTTTTCTCAGACATTTCTAAGTTATTAAATGTACTTTACTAAAATTTGCTGTGTATAAAGTAAAAAAAAATCAACATGTATTTAGGCATGAAAGAGCTAGAATAGAATTTGTCTTGTTTGTATGATTGGTTTTGGGTTATACCCAGGGATTACTTCTGGCTCTATGGTCAGTAATTACTACTACTAGTGCTCGGGGTACTATTATGAGATGCTGGGGATAGAACCCAGGTTGTCTGTGTGCAAGGCCAGTGCCCTACCTACTGTGCTATCTCTCCAGCCCAGATTTTGCCTTTTGTCTTTTGGAGGGGGTGGGGGATGCTTTTGGACCACACTTGGCTATGTTCAGGGCTTACTCCTGGCTCTGTGCTTAGTGATCACTACTACTGAGACTTGGGAGACCATATATGGTACCAGGGACTGAACATGGGTCAGCTGTGTGCAAAGCAATTGAACTACTCAATGCCCTACTCACTCTGATCCCTACATCAACACTATTAACCATAGGAAGTCAACTGGTATCATAATAAACCTGAACAGCAGGTCAAGAGAGTTCCTGATTGAGCACAGACATGAACATTGTCAAGCACTTTTCTGGATCTCAAGAATTCTAGTTTACCATCTTGGTTTCCATCCTTTTCTGCTCCAAAATGGGGCTGCTGGGGGAAAAGACTTGTGCTTTAAAGATATTTTGAAATGGGGACAAGAGATGAAATGTGGAGTCAAGATAAGGGCAAGCTCCTCTGTTTATTTTTTATTTGTCTGAAGGTGACTGACAGCAATGGCTACTAATTCATGCTGCTAACTGACCTCCAAAGCTTAGCTGGGCACATCAGAAATATCTTTCTTCTTGACATAAAGAAAAAAAGACAACGAACTGTGCTTGCGAACTCATCTTTACTCCACCTAAAAGCTCCTTTATGATTCCCGTCACTCAGCAGGCAGCGGCAGAAGCTCACCTTCTAACATCTCTCCGGCTCCTTTGGGGTAGGTGAAAAGTGCCTTCCGGGGTGGTGCGAGGTCGGAGACGCTGAAGCCCGATCCAGTGACGGAGCTTCCGCTCACGCCTCCCGCCGAGGAGGATGAGGACGACGCTGCCATTCTTCCCCCACAGACCCACTCCACTGCAGAGAAAAAAACCCAGCAAGTGGCAGGAGTGCAGAAGTGAGACTGACACAGATATTTTGTGTGTGTGTGCGTGGGGGGTGGGGTGGGGTTGGGGGATGGGGGCTCCCCTAGGAGACTTGGGGAACCCACCGGGCAGTGGCTGGGTCAGACTCTGGGAATTCTGTCAGGCTTCCCCAGCCTCAGCTTAGGGCTTTAGAAACTATCAGCCCTCACCCCCCTTTTCCTTTTTTTGATTTTTTCGGTCACACCTAGCAATGCTCAGGGGTTATTCCTGGCTCTGCACTCAGGAATCACTCCTGGCTGTGCTCGGGGGACCATACAGGGTTCTGGGGATTGAACCTGCATCAGCTATGTGCAAAGCAAGACCTTATCTTTTTTTTGTTACTCCTGGCTTTGCACTCAGGAATCACTCCTGGCTGTGCTTGGGGGACCATATGGGATGCTGGGAATCGAACCCGGGTTGGCCGCGTGCGAGGCAAACGCCCTGCCCGCTGTGCTACTGCTCCAGCCCCAAGACCTTATCTTTTGTACTTTATCTCCGGCACCTTTTCTTTTTTCCTTCCTTCCTTTTTTTTTAAACATTTTTTGGGGAGGAGGGGAGGTCTGGAGCTATAGCACAGCAGGTAGGGCATTTGCCTTGCATGCTGTCGACCCGGGTTCGATTCCCAGCATTCCATATGGTACCCCGAGCCCCGCCAGGAGTAATTCCTGAGTGCAGAGCCAGGAGTGACCCCTGTGCATTGCCAGGTGTGACCCAAAAAGGAAAAAAATATATATATATGTACATAAACATTTTTTGGGGGGAAATTTTATTTTTAATCCATGCGTTGTTGAAGAGCGTGTGATTATTATTTCTGTTTTGTTTTTGGGCTCTACTCGGTGATGCTCAGGCTTCCTCCTGGCTCTGCACTCACGGATCATTTCTGGCAGGGCTTGGGGACCACATGGGATGCCAGAGATGGAACTGGAGTCAGCTGTGGGCAAGGAAAGCTCCTTACCCACTGTCCTCTTGATCTGTCTCCTATCCCCCTCCCCCCCTTTTTTTGGTCTGGGGGCCCCACCTGGCAATGCTCATGGGTTACTCCTGGCTCTGCGCTTGAGGAATCACTCCTGGCAGGCAGGGGATCAGATGGGATGCTGGGAATCGAACCCAGGGCTGCCGCATGCAAGGGACTCTGTGCAAGGGAGGCCCCTTAGCAGCTGTACTCTCTCTCCAGCCCCCACCCCACCCTCTTTCCACTGTCTTTCCTCACCATCTGTTGCTGATGTCTCAGACCAAAATGTCACTCAATTTCAACGGAAGATATGTGTAAGAACAGTGTTTTTCCCTACCGAAACATTGCTTCCAAACATTTCCTTACCGAAAACATTGCCAAACTGCTTCTGTGGCTCAGGATTGATTGTGGCCAATTTATCAAGTACAAAGGGTGATACAGTAGTGCTAAGGTATCAATCTGAGGAAATGACTGATATGAGACTAAAGCAACTGTGCCTCACTGGAGAGTTTGCTTTGGATATATCCTGAATAAATCACATCACTTGCGAAAGTTTCCAAATAAATTTCCAGAGTAACACTGTGTTCTGTTCCCAGAGAGGAGGCACCGGTTAGGAAACACATATTGGCCTTTTCTCACTCTCTCTCTTTTTTTTCCCCAGACTGGCCCTTTCATTAAAATTTGTTTGGAAAAAAAAAAAAAACCCACAACCCAAAAACCCCATCCAAATGCAATACTCCAATTCATCACTTGGTGGCGTCCAAAAACTGGATCAAAACTGTTCAGAACATGATCCTGGAATTTAGGGACTATTATGAAGAGTAACTGTTAATGTTTTATCCTGTGTCATTAAACAATCAGAAAGCATGAACGCAAATGAGAAAAATAAAATCTGTACTTGAGTATATAAAGTCTTACGAAAGTTCAAAACAAAAACAAATGTTCTGCTTTTGCACTGTTTACTTCGTTAGCCTCTCGTGGCTCATCAAGTCTGTGACTCAAGAATGTATTTTAGGGGCTGGAGGGACCCCTAGTACGGCGGGCAGGGCACTTGGCTTATTCCCAGCTGACCTGAGTTCGATCCCTGGCAACTCATACGGCCCCCCAAGCACCAGGAGAAATTCCTGAGTGCAGAGCCAGGAATAACTCCTGAGCATTGCCGGCAGTCGCCACAACACAACACAAACAAACAAAAAGAATTGTACTTTAAAATCTACTTTGTGTCAGTTAAATTTCAAACAGTCACAGGTGACTCATGGTACTGTTTGGATGGATAATTCAGTTCTTGTATTTACTTATTTTTGTGTTTTGGGCCAGACCCGGCTGTGCTCAGGGTTTATTCCTGGCTCTGTGAGCATATGGGGTGCCAGGGATCGAATCTGGATTGGCGACATACAACCAAGTCCCGGCCGGCTTTCCTGTCTCTCTGCGACCATGGAAACAGCACCGAAGGGAAGGAAAGGGAACGGTGGGGAGAAGGGGAAGGGCTAAAAAATAAAAGTCGGAACTTATTTTTGGGTGTGGAGCGATAGCACAGCGGTAGGGCGTTCGCCTTACAAGCGGCCAACATGGCCGACCCGAGTTCGATTCCTCCGGCCCTCTCGGAGAGCCCGGCAAGCTACCGAGAGTATTCGATATGCCAGACACAGTAACAACAAAGTCTCCAATGGAGACGTTACTGGGCCCGCTCGAGCAAATCGACGATCAACGGGAGGGCCTTTACTTTACTTACTTTTCTATTTTTGGGTAAAAGAAATGTGAGGCAGATATAAATCCTATGTATAGGTTCCTAGAAAGAATAAAATTATATACACTGCATTTCTGAAATGCCCACTGCTTAATTTTGGGATCACTGACTTAAGGCTATCGGGAAGCAGACCTTAGTTTCTGATTTTTTTTATGTCTACAAGTAATACTCATTAATTCTAAAATGAAATATGGGAACAGTAAGACAGCTGCTATAATTAGAATGTCAGCCTATTTAAAAATGCAAATTGATTAATGACATTTTCCATCTTGCCATTAGATCACCTTTCCTTTCTAAAGCTCGATTACTATGCAAATAATATTCATATTTATAAAGGCAACAATTCTTCATGTTAGGAACTGGGGGTGCAGCTCAGCGATAGAGCACTTGCCTTTTGCTTTGAGTCTGAGGCCGTGGGCTCAATCCTTAGCATCGCAATCACCCCCACCCCCTGAAAAAACAACCAAAAAATATTTCCTCAAATTAGCATCACAGCCAAGTCCTTGAACCACATTAATTCAAAATTGGAAAGCTTTAAAATTATTTTATTTATTATTTATTTTTTATTTTATTTTTTTGCTTTTTGGGTCACACCCGGCGATGCTCAGGGGTTACTCCTGGCTCTGCACTCAGGAATTGCTCCTGGAGGTGCTCAGGGGACCTTATGGGATGCTGGGAATCGAACCTGTGTCGGTCATGTTGGCTGTGTGCAAGGCAAACGCCCTACTCGCTGTGCTATTGCTCCAGCCCCAAAATTCTTTATTTTATTAATTTTTGTAGTGTAAGGGCAACTCATGCTTTGCACATGCAAGGCAAGAGCTCTACTGCTCAGTTAGATGTTACATTTCTGGCCCCCGATACACACACACACACACACACACACACACACACACGACCTAAAACTGTATTTTTTCCCCTACACCTTGATAAATATTCCATAAAACTGTAAATGCAAGGAAGACTTTGTACTTAGAAGCCAGCTACAAGGGAGAGCACTCAGGTGGCTACCAGAGAAGAGCTTCAAGGGCCAAACACAATCAGCGTCCACCCTGCCATCATCAAAGGAATTCCCCTTTCATCCTGCTTCCGGTCCAACTTGAGCCACTGTCATTTAGCCGGGGTTGAGGCTGGATAGAGGGAGGGCACTTGCCTGGCACGTGGCCAACTAGGTTGGCCCCCAGGCATTCTGTATGGTCCCTTCCCCCGCTACCCCACCCCTCGCCCCCAGTATCGCCAGGAATAATTCCTTCTGGGCACAGAACCAGGAGTAACCTCTGAGCACTGCTGGAAATGACCTCCAAACCAAAGGCAAACCAAACTCCACACCCAGGGTAGAAAACTGGGATGTGGAATTAGAGTAATATAAACTTCAACATAACTAAATGGTTTCAGTCTAGGTGGAGAGCCATACCTAAGCAGTTGCTGGCTTTAAAGATTCAGGCCACGTGGTCTAGGGCGAGTTCAAAGGGCTCGAGCACATGCCTGGCATGCACAGGGACCTTGGTTTGAGCCTTGGAACCACCTGCCCTCACACGACGCCCAGGGACAGCCCTGGGGCTACCAGCACCACTGTGGAGAAGCTCTCCCTCTCCCCAAACACTGTAACAAAAGATGTGAGTTACGTTTCTTTGCTTTCTAGTTCTGGGCCTTGCAGAGGCTATTCTAGACTCTGTACTCAAGGGTTCAGGGAATTTGAACCAGCGCCTCCTTACTGCCGGGATATCTCTCCAGCCCTTGGGTCACATCACCGTAGCACTGTCCTCCCGTTGTTCATCGATTTGCTTGAGTGGGCCCAGTAATACCTCCATTGTGAGACTTCTTGTTACTGTGTTTGGCATATGGAATACGCCCTGGGTAGCTTGCCAGGCTTTGCCAAGATCACTCCTGGCATTGCTCGGGGGACTATACGGGATGCAAGGGATTGAACCCGAATTGGCATGTGCCAAGGCAAGTGCCGTATCTGCTGTACTATTGCTCTGGCCCCTTGGGTCACATTTTGAAAGCTATCAGATTGTGGCAATAGGAGTTAAAGTGAACCAACACATGCTAAAGTTTTTTTTTTTCTTTTTTGGGTGGGGGGGAACAGCTGGAGTTGAGAGGTCTCTCCAGATATTCTCCTGCTTGGGAAACAAGGGGCATTTCTGGCAACACAGTACTGAATAGACCATATATATATGTATATATATATGTATATATATATTTTTTTTAAGGTGGGGGCTTCCTAGGCTGTGCTCAAGGGCCTAGGAACAATAGGGCTACACCTGATGGCGCTTGGGAGGCCATGCAGGGCTAGGGATGGGACCTAGGCACTCCAGCCCTTTGCACTAGCTCCCTGGTCTGTGAAGTTTTTCCCTGCTCTGTGAAGGCAAGTATTCCAATCACCAAAAACAACCTTCAAATGTTTGCTAAATGAATGAAACATTTCATATGAACTGAGAGAATCCTCAGAAGTCATCTACCTAAATGCTTTCATTTTATAGGCAATTAAATAGATATTCAGAGACTTCGGCTTATTTGAACTGGGGGTTTCTGGATCAGTGTTTAGGGGCCTGGAGAAACCTAGACTGTTGGCTGTAATGTTTTCCAATCAGTGGCTTTGCAGGCAAGTCATATACCCAGGAGAGGTTAAGAGTTTGGGCTTAAGTCCCTGGTGTGGGGTTCTATCCTGATTTTGCCACTTAAAATGCTGCAGAGCTTTGGGCAAATCATTTCATGTCTCTGTTCCTCATGTCTCAGCTGCCTCATCTCTGAAACAGGAAAATCTAGAGTACCTCCCTCCAAGAGCGGCCACAAAACAGACACCCCAATACAGTGACACAGCACAGGCACAGTGGACACTCAGCAACAGCTGTCCAAAATCACGCATGTTTCTTCCTGAATCTCCCCCACCTCTACCCCAATCTGCAGACCTGTTTTTCATAATGATTTTATTCCAACACAACTTATTTTGATTGATGTGTGTGTGTGTGTGTGTGTATTTTAATTTTGGGTTTGGGGTACCCAGAACTAATTTCTGGCTCTGTGCTCAGGGATCACTTGTGATGATGCTCAGGGAACCACAGGTGGTGCTGGCGGTTGAAGCAGCAGCGGCAATGTGCAAGGAAAGCGCCCAACACGCTGTACTATTTTCCTTCCTCCTCCTGGGAAAAATTCTAATTCAAGTCATTGGGGTAAGGATCAACACGTTCATAAAGGGGAAAAGATTAGCTCAGAAAGAGTCAAATGCCCTCAACTAATGTGGGCCACTCACACTTCCATTTTAAGGTACCAAGAATCCTGTTACCTGGGAAAAGAAGAACTCGCTGTCCAGACCTAGCAAGGGACCTGGGTTTCACGAATGAATGAAACAACGATGAAGAACAGACCTCGGACCCCAGGCTCAGCTCGGAAAGGTGAAGGAGAGCGCCCACTTTGGCGTCACGGTGTTTTTTTCCCACCTCATCCTGCACATCTAACAAGCCTCCCACTAGCTCGCCAGGCCTAAAGTAGGTTCTGGATAAACTTCTGGCTAAGTCAATACTGATGAAGAAGCGATCTGGGGTTGGGTCCTATCAGAGAAGCGGGAGCCTAGAGGCTGCGGAGACCTAAGGATGCTGTCTTGGGAGCGACACTGATAAGATGACCAGGCACACGACCATCGGGCGATGACCTCGTCCTGACCAACTACGTTTCTCTCTGGGAGACAGACACCAATTTCCTCCACAACAGTTCTTCCCTCTGACCATGTTTCCTGATCAAATAAGGCAGACGGTGAAGGAAGCACCACGGGACCGGGGCAAATGACTTCAAGCGGTCCTGGATCTTCCATAAAACCGTCCCCTTCACTCAATCTCGTCTCAGCAGCTGCAGCTAAAACCAAGTACGGTGCATGGCACCCTGCCACTTAACGGTACCGTAAACCAGCGTCTAACGGGGAAAAAAAGTGCCTGTCCCAGAGGCAGGCTGGGGGGCGGGAGGGAAACTGGGGATGCGGTGGAAGGAAGTGGACGCGGGGGAAGGGATTGGTGTTGGAACACTGGACGCCTGAAACTCAGTCATGAACAACTGTAATTCACCGTGATTCAGTAAACTGAGAAACACAACCAAAACAAAATGGGGGTGGAAAAGGGCTGCAGAGGCAGCTGTCAGGAGGACAGCGGCTCCCAAACTCCCGGGGCCACGGCTCGGGCGTCGCGGCGGCCCAGTGCGCAGGCGCCGCCCCGGCTCCGCCCCCAGCCCGCCCGCCCGCATGCGCAGTCGGCCGCGGCCTAAGGCACACTTCCGGCGTCGCCTCCTACCTTCTCCAATTTCCTAGTCCCTGCAGGTAGGATCCCTGGGGTCAACTCCCGTCCCACCAAGTTCCCGAACGCCGCTAAGCCCTCGGCCACTTACCTCCACGTTTTGGGTACGTTCCCGTACGGCCCCGCCCCCTCTGGCCCTGCCCGAGCGGCCGCGCGACGACGTGGCCGTGGGAGGACCGCGGCGTGCTCGTGCTCGTGCGGAGGAACTCCGGGAAGGCGGCGGCGCGCGCGCTCCCGCTGCGGGGGCGTGGCCTGGGAGGCGGCCCGCTGAGTGGAGAGGGTGCGCTGCGGGGGCGTGGCCTGGGAGGCGGCCCGCTGAGTGGTGAGGGTGCGCTGCGGGGGCGTGGCCTGGGAGGCGGCCCGCTGAGTGGAGAGGGTGCGCTGCGGGGGCGTGGCCTGGGAGGCGGTCCGCTGAGTGGTGAGGGTGCGCTGCGGGGGCGTGGCCTGGGAGGCGGCCCGCTGAGTGGTGAGGGTGCGCTGCGGGGGCGTGGCCTGGGAGGCGGCCCGCTGAGTGGAGAGGGTGCGCTGCGGGGGCGTGGCCTGGGAGGCGGCCCGCTGAGTGGTGAGGGTGCGCTGCGGGGGCGTGGCCTGGGAGGCGGCCCGCTGAGTGGTGCGGATGCGCCGCGGTGGGCGTGGCCTAGTAGGCGGGGCGCTCGGGGCGCGAACGCGCGCTCCCGCTGCGGGGGCGTGGCCTGGGAGGCGGCCCGCTGAGTGGTGCGGATGCGCCGCGGTGGGCGTGGCCTAGTAGGCGGGGCGCTCGGGGTGCGAACGCGCGCTCCCGCTGCGGGGGCGTGGCCTGGGAGGCGGCCCGCTGAGTGGTGCGGATGCGCCGCGGTGGGCGTGGCCTAGTGGGCGGGGCGCTCGGGGCGCGAACGCGCGCTCCCGCTGCGGGGGCGTGGCGCGCTCTCGCGGAGACCAGGGTTGCGCGCGGGCCTCCTTGCTGCGTGTTGCTCGCAGCATCGCCTGCCTCCGCACTTGCGTCGTGAACTCGGTTTTGGGGGTTGTTGTTATGATTGGACTTCAGCTTTCTCCGCGACGTTCATTGCACACCGCGAGCTGTCCTTTCTCGCTGCACACCCCGCAGGGTGGCGTGGGCGACTGCCCGGAGAGGCGCATCTCTTCCCGAGCTCACGACCTTAACGTCCAAGTCTGTGCGGAGCGCCTTATAGTAATAACCGCCAGTAATACCAATCATGATCATTACTTGAGGCCTCGAGGGTCGGGGGCAGTCGTGTGCGACGTCATGAAACTTGTGGAGTGTGCCTCCGTTGTTTCCATTGAGCGAGATCTCCTGTGGGTTCTTGAGCGAGCCCCCAGTTAGAGGGTCGGGCACGAATAAGCCGACCCGCCCCGGTGTAGGAGCAGGGGTGGGCTCCCCGTTTCCTCAACCGTCCATTCATTAGGTTCACAGTGAACCAGGTACAGGGTTGCTTCCAGGGACCCCGAGGCCTGGCTGCTGCTGCCTGCTGCTAAGGAGCGCTCTCCCCTCCTCCCTCTCTCCTTCCCCTCTCTCTCCTTCTCTCTCGTGTCTCTCTCCATCTCCCCCCCTCCTCCCTCTCCCCCTCTCCCTCTTCTCTCTCCTCTCTCTCTCCTCTCTCTATTCCCCCTCTCCTCCCTCCCACTTTCCGTCTCCCTCCCTCCCTCCCTCCCCTCTCTGCCTCTGTCCTCCCCCCTTCTCTCTGTCTCTCTCTCTCTCTCTTTCTCTCCCTCTCTCCGTCTCTCCCTCTTTCTCCCTCTCTCTCCTCCTCTCCACTCTCGCCCCCACCCCCTCTCTCATTTTAGGACCACATTGCTCAGACCTTACTCATGGCTGCTCAGGGATCACTCCTGCTGGGGCACAGTGAGACTGTATGTGGTGCTCAGGATTGGATCTAGCTTGGCTGTGTGCACGGCACGCCTTAACCCTTTACTCTCTACCTCCCCTCACATCCCCCACCCCCCAGCTTAGCTTTTTTTTTTTTGCTTTTTGGATCACACCCAGCGATGCACAGGGGTTACTCCTGGTTCATGCACTCAGGAATTACTCCTGACCGTGCTTGGGAGACCCTATGGGATGCTGGGGATCGAACCCGGGTCAGGCCACGTGCAAGGCAAACGCCCTACCCTCTGTGCTGTCACTCCAGTCCCAAGTTTAGCTTTTAAAAATGAATGTGGTGGGGTCCCTGAGGGGGTCCCTTCATCAATTGTAACAATGCCACATTGCAAAGCCCAAGAATTCTCTCAACTCATGGGGGTCTTGAGTCAGACCCCCCTTTCTGTTTCCTGATGAGAAAGGACTGTGAGTGGGACAAATCGAAGCCCTACCTACAGAAATGGAATTCTTGCCCTCAGGGCTGTTGGTTGTCATTATTTTAACTTTTGGACAGCCTGAAAGTAATTTTTAATTTTTTTCGTGGGGGTTTGGGGGCCGAATTTGGCAGTGCTCAGCCATCATTCCTGGCAGGGCTTGGTGACCATATGTGGTTGAACCAGGGTGGGCTGCCTGCAAGGACCGTAATGCTTTAACCCCTGCACCATCTCTTCAGTCACAGGATATAATTTTAACTGACTGTAATCGGGGCTTTTTTGTTTTGTTTTGTTTCTGGGGCGGCATACCCGGCAGTACTCAGAGCTTCTGCCTCTGTGCTCGGGGATCACTCCTAGTGGGCTCATGGGACCATATGGGGTACCAGGGTCAGCTGTGTGCAAGGCAAGTGTCTTACCAGCTGTACTATTGCCCCATCTCCATGAATATGATTATCCTATGTAGATTTCTAGCTTCTCTACTCGTACGTAGGGACTCTTGCCCCCCCACCTCCCAGGACAAGCGTATTAAATGTATCAAATAAATTTTTTTAAATCTTGAAGGACATTGGGTTGAGACACTGCAAATATTTATCTTAGTCACAGAGGCTGTTTGTAATGGACTCAGTATCTTTTAATCATCAATTTTTTTTTAGTATTTATTTGTTTGTTTTTTGGGCCGTAGAGGATACTGCTCAGGCTTACTCCTGGCTTTACAATCCTGGTCGGATTGAACCAGGTCATCTGTGTGCAAGGCAAGTGCCTCACAGGTAACCCCATGCACTGTTTCTCCAGACCTCTTGCCCCCCATTTTTTGTTTTTGTTTTTTATTTGCTTCTGGTAGTACTCAGGAGCTTACTCAGGAAGCACCTCTCGGGGGACCATATGTGGTGCCAAGATTCAAACTAGGGTTGGACTGCCTTAAACCCTGTACTATCTCTCAGGTCCAAAAATGACATTTTAGAATGAACCAGGAATGGCGGCTAGAGCAATAGCACTTGTCTTGCTGATCTGATCCCTGCTGTCCCATATGGTCCACCAAGCCTGCCAGAAGTGACTCCTGCCTGCAGAGCCAGGTGTAACTCCTGAGCATTGCTGAGCGGGGTCCTAAAACCAAAAACCAAAAGCAAAAAAAAGCAAAAAGAATGTACCAGGAATGGAATATGGGAGGGGAAATGCAGCCAATGGCTTGAGACTGCTTGCAAATAGAGAAATTTAATAGAAAAGTGTTTTTCTTAGCGTGTGCCATGAACTATATCTATTATCTAACTGTGTCCACTCAGTCTTGCATAATAGTGATCCCATTTGTTTAGGATAGCATGTAAAGTGAGCACTTATTTTTCAGGATCTCACTGGAATATCGTTTGGAAAAAGTAATATGGAAGTTCTGCGCCCACAGCTTATAGTAATTGATGGACGGGCTTATAGGAAGAATCCTATACAAGAAAAGACTTGTCAGCATGAAGAAGAAGATGAGGATTTCTATCCAGGTAATTGGAGTTGCTCTGTGACCAGATTAGGAGTCGAATGGTCTCTGTATTCTAAGAAGCAGTTCTTTTCAGGGGAGTGGGGAGAGGTTGTGCTCAGGGTTTATTACTGGCTATGTGCTCAGGATTCACTCCTGGCAGGACTCCGGGGACCATATAAGGAGCCAGGGATCGAACACCAGTCAGCCACATGCAAAGCAAGCGCTCGAATCACCATACTTTTTCTCCTTTTTCCTATTCTTCATTTTTTTCCCCCCCAAGAGTGGGTCAGAAGGAATCTCAGAGCCATATTCTGTAACGTAAAGCATGGACTGTAAAGCTGCATATTGCCTTTTTCATTTTAATTTCATTGATTTGGGGAGGATCTTTGGGCTACACCTAGCAGTGCTCAGGGTTAGTAAATTCTCCTGCCTCTGAGCTCAGGGATCACTCTCTGCAGTACTTGGGGGGCCCTGTGTGGTGCCCAGGATCAAATTAGGATTAAGAGAAGTACTTGCAGTGCCCCAAAGGGGAGTGGGTGAGAGCCCTCTCTGCCCCAGGGGACCCAGCCCCGGCAGCTGAAACCCTCCAGAACCCAACCACTGCCATGCTCAAGGCCCTTCCCTACACGCTAGGGCTGGGCCTCATGTATGAGTCAACATATTCCTGGACTGCGTAGCCACAAATGGCTGCACGGCACATCATAAGATGGTTTTTCATAACAGACAATGTAAAATATATTATTTCGGTTGTGCTTTGGGATAGGGCGTGGGGCTTGGGAGGGAACCGTCCCCAATTTGGTGATGGGAAGGCGTAATTGTGGTGGGATTGGTGTTTGAATATTAACTGTAATCAAATATTGTGAACCACCTTATTAAAAAAAAAAAGCATCTGCAGGGGCGGGGAAACCGGAGTCCTGGAGTCACTGGGGTCATTGGTGGTGGGAAACGGAGGGAAATGGACACTGGTGAAGGGAAGGGTGTTGGATCATTGTATGACTGAAACCCGATCATGAGCAGCTTTGTAGCTATGCATCTCATGGTGACTCAATTAAAAAAATAAAAATGAAAAAAAGAAAGAACCTAGCACCTTCCCTCCTGTACTGTCTCTCCCCCGCCCACCACCCCGTTGTTTTTTGTTAAACCCCCAGAGAGACTGACAGCCATGGAGCACAGCTCTGAGGGGGATGTTGGGGTGTTTCTGCAGGTTTCATGGAAGGTGCAGAAGAGCCCTGTGATACCTACGAGGTGGTGCCAACCCAGCACGGTTTTCGATGCACAGTGAAGGCCCCGAGCCTGCTCTACAAGTGAGTGAGGCCTCGGACAGGTGGCTCCCAGCTGACTGGTTCTCTCGGCCACAGTGCAGTGCTCACTGCTGATGAGAACGGGGCGGTGGGTTTCACGTTTCAGGATTCCTAAGGATGGATTCAGAATGACTTTCATCACTCTCCCGCCACATTTTGCTGATTTTGCCTCTCCCACACCTTTGGAGTCTTCCTCTTATCTCTTTATTGCCGCTCTTCTGCCTCTCCTCTGAGTGACTTCCAATAGTCTCCTTCCTCAGTTCTTAATGCTGCGGGTGGGATGGTGGTGGTCTTTTTCAAAGGCAAATATGATTATTTTAATCCCTTGGCTTAGCATCTGTCAGCATTCCTCCCACGGGAGATGGAGTTCTACCTCCTCAGAATAGTGGCCGGAATCTCCAACACCGCTTGGCCCCTTTCATTTTTCACTTTCCTTCAGACACTCTTTTCCTTGCTTTGTGCTTAAGTCCAATTGGCTTGGTTCAGTTCTGCAAAAAAAAAAAAAAAAAAAAAAAAAAAAAAACCCAACAGATTCTTTCTTGCCTTAGAAATTTGGTATCTGCTGTCACTTTGCCTTCTAATCTCTCCTCTGCCTTCCCTGTTTACGCCTCCTCTTGTTCTTTTGGTACCCAGCTTGATTCTTTTGACACTCCTCTCCTTTTTTTCTTTTGATGCTTCGCTTCCCTTTCTTGTTTCTGTGATGACTGTGGGGCGGGCTGTCCCCCAGGCTTGATCGTGATGCTTGTTGCATTTGGTGGTGATGCTTCCACACGTTTGCTTGCCAGGAGTTGCACGCTTTAGTCATGGTGCTCCCACACACTTGGTCGTGGTACTCCAGACATCATACACTTTTATTTGACACCAGGGAATCCAAAACAACACAGCCCATGGGCTTGCCCTCAGGCATGTGGGGTGATGTTGGTAATCAGACTTGTGGCCTCACTAGACGCATGTTTGTAAGACAGGGGCCCCACCAGCTAGTCCCAGGCCCAGTTCACTTTTTTTTGTTTGTTTTGTTTTTGTTTTGGGACCCTGACAGTGTTTTACCCCTGGCAATGCTCAGGTGTTACTCCTGGCTCTGCACTCAGGGATCACTCCTGGCGGTACTTGGGGGACCGGATGGGGTGCTGGGGATTAAATTCCTCTTGACTGAGTACCAGGCAAGCACTATACCCATCTCTTTGGCACCATTGCTTTTTTTTTTTTTAATATTTATTTGTTATTTTGGCCACATTGGCTATGCCCAGGGTTTACTCCTGTCTCTGTGCTCTGGGATCACTCCTGACCGTGATCAGGGCACAATATGTGGGGCCAGAGATTGAACCCAGGTTGGCCACATGCCTGGCATATGTTCTTCTGTCTTCTAGTCTCCTTGCCTCTCCCCATTCTCCGTTCTTACTAATTGTTTTTATAACATCCCTTGTAGAATTTCTCAGTCTTGAGTTTGTGTTTTTTTTGTGTGTGTGATTTGATGTCTCTCCACTAGATGGAAGACTTCTTGAAGCTCAGATGTTGTCTGTCTTATTCCAGTACTTTATTTTTATTGTTTTATTTTGTTTTGCTTTATTTTGGGACCATACTCGGCTGTACCCAGGGCTTACTCAGGGATCACTCAGGGATCACTCCTGGTAGTGCGAGGGTCACCATAGGTGGTGCTGGGGATTGAACCCAGCTTGGCAAGCTCCCTACCTACTGTCCTATTTCTCTGTCCTCTCATGTCTGTCTTGTTAATCCCTAGAAGTTGTCAAAGGCTGATAGGCTTTATCCGGGCTTATTTTTATTTCTGTTTTTAAATTTCATTTTGCTTTTATGCTCCACTGGCAGTGCTCAGGCTTTACTCCTGGCTCTGTGCTCAAAGCTCACTCCTGGGGATAGAGTGATAGTACAGCAGAGAGGGCCTTTGCCTTGCACACGGCTGACCTGGGTCGATCCCTGACATTCCTTATGGTCCCCTGAATACCGCCAGGAGTGGTTCCTGAGTGTAGAGCCAGAAATAACCCCTGAGCATTGTGGGGTGTGACTGAAACAACAACAACAACAAAAAGATCACTCCTGCTGATCCTCAAGGGACCACATGCCATGCCAAGGACTGCACCAGCATTGGCTACTGCAAGGCAAGTGCCTTAAGCTCTGTACTATCTCTCCCGCCCCCAGGTTTATCTTTCTCAAAATGCTGGAAACTTGGGCTGGAGACATAGTACAGTGAGTAGGACAGGGCATTCGCCTTGCATGTGGCTGACCTGGGTTCAGTCCCTGATACCGCATACGGTTCCATGAGCCATACAGGAGTGACCCCTGAGCCTTTCTGGGTGTAGTCCCCAAAGAAAACAATAATAACAAAAATGCTTGGAAACTACGTAATAACCTCGCTGTGCTTCCATGCATGTGTGATTATTGCCCACGTTCTGTCCTATCTGAACAATTAATATGGCTAGTTTATGTGATTAACGGGCATTCAGGCTTACACCACCAAACATAGACTGGTAGGAGAAATCCATAATATTTTTTTTCTATATCATACCTGATAAATTAGGTCTATCCAATGCCTCCATGAGAGGAAATCTACAAATATGAATTCATGTACCGAAAGCATGTTTTTTTTTGGGGGGGGCCTAACACCTAGCAATGCAAAGGGGTTCCTCCTGGCTCTGCACTCAGGAATTACTCCTGGTGGTGCTCGGGGGACCATATGGGATGCTGGGAATTGAACCCGGGTTTGCTGCGTGCAAGGCAAACGCCCTACCTGCTGTGCTATCGTTCTGGCCCCATGTAATTTTATTTTTCTCAACCTCAAGAGTGTTGAGAACCACCTATAAAGCATGAAATTCTCTTGGAAGGTGGCCTGTTGGGGAACCAGATGCTAACTCAGACAGCTTTCCTCCCAAGTTCTAATGACATTCTCCTTTAAGAAATAAATGATTTAGAATGGCTCAGTTTCCTGATAAAAACTAGAGTGACATATCTTATTAAATGTGTATATTTGCTGCTGCTAAGTTGTCCGAACATTTCTGAGATGTCTCGGAATAACTTGATAATTGTTTTGTTTTTGGGTCATACCCAGCTGTGCTCAGGGCTTACTCCTGGCTCTGTCCCTAGAGGTTATTCCTGGCAGAACTTGGTGGACCACATGTGATGCTGGGTCGCTACAAGTGCCTTACCCACTGTGCTGTGTCTTGGCTCCTACTTTGATAATCTTTTAAATTCTCTGTAATCGAAGCACTCATCTACAAGATGACCATGTGTTCTGCTAAACACTAATAGAAATAAATACTTGGAAGCATTCTTCCATAATTATGTGTTACTTTAAAAAAAATTTCAATCTTAAAATTTTCCTTCTTTTCTTTTCTCTTTTGAATCATTTCTATAGGATTAATTGTATCCATAAAAAAGATCATCTAGGGGCTAGAGCGATAGCACAGCGGGTAGGGCGTTTGCCTTGCACGCGGCCGACCCAGGTTCAATTCCCAGCATCCTGTATGGTCCCCCGAGCACCGCCAGGGCTAATTCCTGAGTGCAGAGCCAGGAGTAACCCCTGTGCATCGCCAGGTGTGACCCAAAAAGATAATCTAGCTGACCTTATTATTTTATTTTTGTGGGGGGGAATATCCAGCGATGTTCAGGAGCTTCACCTTCATGGCCTGGGGACCATATGAAGTGTGAGGGATTGAACCAGCGTTGGCTGCTTTACAAGGCAAGCACCCTTGTGATCTCTGGCCCTTTTATTTTCTTTTTTTTTTAGACCTTCGGGTCACACTGGTTGGTGCTCAGGGCTTATTCCTGATTCTGCACTCAGGAATTACTCCTGGTGGTGCTCGGGACCATATGGGATGCTGGGGATTGAACCTGGATCAGCTGCATGCAAGGCAAACATCCACCTACTGTATATCACTCCGGCCCTATTTTCAGTTTTTTTGAAAAGCCCTCATACTCTTTTCCATAGAGGGGAGTATCAAATTGTCGTCCTACCAAGAGTGAGTGAGGGTTGCTTTTGCTGCTTTTTAGTTTTTGTTTTGAGTCACATCAGGCACTGCTCAGTGCCGGGTGTGGCCCAGCTAGGGCTGTTCCTAGTTCTTGCACAGGAGTGACCCTGAGCAGTGCTCAGAAGCGCAGAGGTGATGTGGGGGATTCGAACTGCGGTTGACAGGATGAAGGCAAGCACCTTACCCCTGGTCCTACTCTTCAGCCCCTTTTTGATACAGACCATTCTCACTGGTGTGAGTTGGCATCCCATTATTGTTTTGATATGCATTTCTCTGATAATGTGGTAAGCAATTTTTCATGTGCCTGTTGGTCATCTGCATGTCTTTTTTTTTTTGTGGGGAAGGCATACCCAACAGTGCTGGGGGATGCTTCTGGATCAGTGCTCAGGGCTGGTGCCAGGGATTAACCTGAACTGCCACATGCAAAGCATGTGCTCAGCCCACTGAGCTCTTTCCATTCCTGGGTGTATCTGTTTCCTTTTTTTTTGTTTCGTTTTGTTTTTAGGCCACACCTGACAGTGCTCAGGGCTTACTCCTTTTTATTAGGTTCTCTTTTAACCGGTACCACTCAGGCTTCTAGGAACTGGATGCTGCATTCTCCAGCTCTGGGAACTTTTCGGCAATGATGTTGTTAATGGTTACTTCCTCATTTGGGTTGCCTCCCTGTTCCCCTGGGACTCCAATGATTCTTATAGTGTTTCTCTTGAATTTATCCCAAACGTCTCGAGCTATTTTGAGGTCTTTTTCTATCTTCTGTTGTTGCATGGGTGCTTTCTTTTCTTTTCTTTTTTTGCTTTGTGGATCATACCGGCGATGCTCAGGGGTTAGTCCTGGCTCTGCACTTACTTAGGAATTACTCGTAGCAATGCTCGGGAGATCATATGGGATGCTGGGGACCAAACTCAGGTCATCTATGTGCATGGCAAATGCCCTGTCTGCTGTACTATGACTCCGGCCCCTGTCAGGATGCTTTCTGCAGCTTATCTTCAAGCTCACCGATTCTGCCTTTGGCTGTTGTCATTC